AGGTAAGTTTAGTTTCTGCTTCATCGGTTTCAATAGACCGATTCTCAATCGCTGTCGCTTTGTTGTTAGACTCTTTAATTTACCTTGTTTCGATGAAAAACCTGTCTATAGTTCGATGTTTCTCATTTCATAGATACTGATTCGTTAATCAGAATTTACTTGTTTTGTTTTGTTTTGAGTGTAAGAGAATTTGGTTGTGTTTGATTCATATGACCAATTTCGAATTCTCTTGTTTTTTATATTCTTCTCAGGAACACGATTATGCTGCTTCTTTTGGGTTGCCTTATCCTCAGCAGCTACAACATAAAGTCTCCAACTTTCAACAGCAATTCATCCTTTTATGAATACACCATTTAGGTTTGCTGGATCACAATCATCGTTCGACGGATGGGTCAATTTTAAACTTGCAGAAATTCAACATATTACTTTGTCTCTCTCCTGTTTTTGTAGCAGAGGCAGGTTTATCCAAAGATGAAGCACAACTCTGGGCTTTTTTTGCTCTTGTCTTGGATTATTGGGAAAAAAGGCATTCTGGGAATTTGTCTGTTGTGAAAATCGGTTCTATGTTCAGTTTAGATTGCGATTGAGGAGGCACTGAAAGATGTGAATTCTCATCAATGCTTTTACATATCCTCAATTGCCTCAAGTTGTTCATTTGTTTGGTAATGAATTGATGTTGCAGCATTACGGTTTATGGACAAGGACATAGTTGGGATCATCGGACCATAATGTTCTGTAGTTGCTCATATGGCGAATGAACTCCGTGTGCCTCTTCTCTCATTTGCTGTATTATGTCATCAGGACGACTCAGAGCGATTTATACCAGATGGATGCGATCGCTTCCTTTGTAGACTTCTATGGTTGGAAAGAAGTCATCGCTGTGTTTGTGGATGATGATTTTGGAAGGAATGGTGTGGCTGCGCTTAATGATAAGCTTGCGGGTAGGAGACTGAGAATCACTTACAAGGCGGGTTTACATCCGGACACAATGGCAAATAAGAATGAAATCAAGATCATGTTGCTTCAGCCAAGAATCATTGTCTCTCAGAACTTTTTTTTTTTGGTTTTTATAGAGGCAAAGTATCGCAGAATAATGGGGAATGGTTATGTGCTACGGATTGGCTCTCAACTACTGTGGACTCTTCCTCTCCGCTTCCTTCTGAGAGACTTGAAACTATTCAAGGAGTTCTTGTTCTGCGGCGACACACGCCTTCAAATTTAAAATGGGAGTTTTTCTCAAGGTGGCGTAACATTTATGATGCTCCTTTGGCTCTTAACGCATATGGTCTATATGCTTATGATCTGGTCATGCTCTTAGCTCGTGTTCTAGATAAGTTCTTTAACCATGGTGGGAAAATATTATTTTCTAATGGCTCAATGCTTGATGCCTTGGGGAAAAGCGGAAATCCCAACCTAGAAGCGATGACTGTCTTTGATGGTGGAGAAACTCTGCTAAAGGACATTCTCGGAATGCATATGGTTGGTCTAACAGGACAACTTGTTCACTCCTGAGAGGTCTCAGACCCGGCCAGCTTATAATATCATCAATGTGGCGGGAACTGGTGCTCCCCGTATAGGCTACTGATTTTTCAATCCTGTCACCCGAGTCACTACACAAAGAAGCAACCAAATATCTCTTCAGGTATACAAGTCCAAAACAAAGACATGTGATTTGGCCAGGAGAAACTTCAGCAAAATCTCGAGGATGGGTTTTTTGTAACAGTGGGAAAGAGCTCAAGATCGGCGTGCCTCGTCATTTGTGGGCTTGCTACTTTCTCTTTGCCGGCATTGTTGTTTGGAACTTGGAGCATTGGATTCACGATGAATTATTCAGATGCCTGCCTAAGAGACAGTGCATCACAATTCTCTGGTCAGTTCACTATATTTCAGATGAATAGGAAAGAAAGAACAAGTCCCATTATCTCTAGAAACTCAATCGCTTTCATGTTTTTTGGCTGATTCATTTACTGGTTGTCTGATATCTGCAGGTTTAGCTTCCCTCTCTAGCAATTACGCCTATAGGATCGATGGTCAGAAGTTCACCAAATGTATATATCCCTAAAATGTATTTGCTTTTCTGTTGGGTTCGGTTCAGTATTGAGAAATGTATATCAAACATACAGAGATTGTTTAAAGCATATCGAGATTCGTTTCTGTTTGTAACATGAGTAGTTAAAGAAATGAAAAACACATGTACGTTTCTGTTTGTTACCTAAACTGTTTGGTAAAGTATTTTAACATCAAACTTACGGCAAACGATCTTAAACGTTGAACCAAACCAACCAACACGGTCACATTTAATAATCTGGGACCAGAGATGAAGTCTCTCTCATAGTTGAGACAAGGCCACGACATTCTCAAATCTCATCCAATAATCTTCACAACGATTTTAATCAATTTTTTTCCACAACCAATAAATCTTCACCACACAAAAAACCAACTAAACCCTCTCCTCCTCCTTATCTTCCTCTCGGGGACAGAAAAATCTTGTTATCCAATTCCGGCAAATAATGGCGGCAGAATATTCAGGAAGCCAAAGTTCCAACACGCAGCTTCTCGCTGAACTCGAAGCCCTAAGTGAAACCCTTTACCAGAAACCTCAAGTATCAACCGGTCGGAGAACAGCCTCGCTCGCTCTCCCTCGCAGCTCCGTTCCTTCGCTCGTGACCTCGGCCGATGAAGTCAGCTCAGCAAAAGCCGATGACGTGTCCGTATCGAGACCAAGGACACGGCGTTTGTCTCTGTCTCCATGGCGGTCGAGACCGAAGCTTGAGGCAGAGGAGGAAGAGACAACACAGACTCAGATTCAGACTAAACCAACAGAGA